GACATTTCATCCAGTTTTGTTTGATGTTAGGACTTCTTAATGTTTATAACATTAATTACATTTTTTAATTATTTACTCAAATATGTGTGTTTTGTTTTTATGATGTGTTCAGTATCCAAGTTTTGCTTTTGTTTGAAATACTGTAAATAACATTAATAGAAATTTAGGTTAATTTAAGAGTTAGAGTGCAAATAAGTCAATTTTAAGATAGCAGTGATCTACTTGGACTATCAGCTCATCAGCCGTTTCAAAATTAAACGCCTTTTCTAAGATGGGGCCGTTCAAAGAGGTATCCAAAACAGGTAAGATATTAACTGTTCATAACATTTCCTCAAAACCCACTTCAAAAAAAATCTGAACTATCCCCTTTTTTATGTAAAAGCATTTGGCTACCTGGGAGTTTCTTGATGTTGAATTGCAAGCATCAGAAGTTCCCGTCTCGGTCTCCAGTCATGAACTTCCATAAAAATCATCCCTAAACGTCTCTGATGGCTTTTTTTTCTCAACACACTGCATTGTTTTTAACTGATGAATTCTGCTTGCTGTGCGAAGCCTGACAACTGAAGCTCGGCTCTGAAGTTCGCCTGGAGCTGTGGGTTTCACAATGAGGGAGTTTAAACACCTATTGTAAAAGAGAGCAAGCCATGCAAAGTAAGAGTGAAATTCAAACGATGCGAAGAGGAAAAGTTCTGGAGGTCATGGCAATTAGAACAAATGAAAATACTGTTTATAGTTGATTTTTTTTTTAGTCCAAAGTGAGTTCATTGTGCTGCTGCTCAATTTGTACATTATTTTACTTCCTGCTTTTTTTTCTTGCTGCCTCTGACCACCCGCACATCTTCATCCAACCTGTTTAATCCACAGCAGACCCCCCCACCACCCCTCCCCGCACCCACAAGAGAAAGGAAAAGGTTGCCCAAGCATTTCCCAGAGTTGCACAGAGGCCACTTGAAATGTAAATCTCAGCTTTACTTCCCCCATGTGGGTAGCAACATTTTTATGAAAATGACCTGATTTGAATTTAGATGTGGGTACACAGGAGCCAGGGCATTCGCAGAGGCACGGGTCTGTTTAACAAAGAGTCGTATTAACAAGCTGCTGGTGACTCCAGCGCGTGTCCGTCAAACAGACAGGCTCACGCTGTCTGTCAAAGCCCCGGAGCTGATACTAAGGACTTTTGGAGATTAATAACAAAGCATTTATTTCAGGGCATTCAGTCACTAGACAATAACTGAACTGGGGATATGTCAACATTGGAATACGCAAAGTCACAAGAACCCAACGCTGCTCTTCTCTTCTCTTTCTGTCTCACAAGATTATTTCTGACACGGTAAATATTTAAATTTGTAAATTAATAAGAATGGCTTTTGTCTGCAAGGACCTCATCTAGAAAAATGAACAACTGAGTTCCTGTAGACAGCCCAGTGATTACAGTCAGATTGGCCTAAATTGAAAGCTGAGATATTTGGAGTTGGTGTTCTGTAGAAATGTTATAAACAATATCTTACCTGCTGTAGATRGAGTTGAATAAWCTCAGTTTGGTGAAAATGAATTTAAATGAGCTATCAGCTATTCTAAGCATGATTTAAACACTTTAATAAACATTTGTATTGCTACCTATGTTTTGTTACGTTTTTTACATATTTTTAGAGCAAGTGGCAGCAGCTAGCTATAGCACTTCTGGTGCAGCATGGGGCACTGTATGCAGAAAATAATAATAAGAAGAATAAGAATAATTACATTTTACATATTACTTTTTAAAACATCCATGGTCACCTAGGGATGTACCGATATGAAAATTTCAGCCAATATCGATGTATGATGATGTTATGGCTGATAACTGATATTTACAGATATTACACAAACACACAAATTATTTATCTACATATACACACAAATACATCAGTGTCTTCTTTTTGATACCATTAAAAAAACAACCAGACCGCTAACATGTCTCTCAACTTCAGTTATTCCTGGCTGTGAAGACAGTATGTATTGTCRTTGTGTTTCATTGGGTTTTAGTGAAGTTTCTATCTTTATACTGAGAACAGACGAGTCACAAGTCTTTGCTGCTATTATTTTATGTCGGAAGTTTTGTAAAACTTTGGGAATCGCATTAATGGAACAATTTAAAAACACAAATTGAAAACAGCAAAAGATGAAAACGATCAGAGTGAGAATGACTTTTAACCGGCGTGTTTTCAGACGGGGGATTTGAAAATGGAGTCAGAGTCATGAATGTCAGGAGGAACGGGAGAGCAGAGGGGCTGAAAACTCAAGCCCCCACGGTGATCAGACGGACTCAGTGAGAAGTACGTTGAATGGAAGATGAAGACCTACGAATATGAGTGGGTGTGGTAGTTTGCAAAAGATCAAAAAAGATACCAGCCGGATTGGGAATGGGCTTAACAGTGAGAAGCAGAATTTTACAGTCAGTGTGAGMGCTAACAGAAAGCCAATGAAGCTGCTGCAGAAATGGAGTGACGTTGTTCAAAGAGGGAGTTCTGGTCAGATCACGTGCAGCTAAGTTCTGGACCAAATGAAGCAACTTTTGTGGGAGACCTAAGACAAAAGTGTTACAGTAATCCAGATGTGAAGTGCAGGAACAACTGAACCGTTTGGATGAGTGGAGGCGATTAAAGACAGATGACGCCTGCATCAACCTGAGGGGAGAGAAGGATTATTGAATTATCAGTAACTGAAAAACTGTCAAACGTCTGTCAGAATAACCATTTGTTAAACTGTCAGTATAACGGTTTATAAAATAGTGGTCAAACTGGTAAACCCCTGCTCATCTTTATTTTCAAGACTCTGTGTTCTTTCTGAGCTGTTCCCAAATGAGTCAGTTTCTCCTCCAGCGATTTCTTATCTGTTCCACTCTCTGATTAAAGCTGATGTTCTGTTACATTGAGCATCCATTGAGACTCCAGCGTACTGTATGTGTTCTCCTAATGGTGCATTTACGAATGTCGAAATTTCCGAAACCCAAGCTAGAATTGAATCTCCAACTTGGAAAGTTGGATTAAACTCACCAGCCTGATTTGAATTCCTGCTATCTGCTGCTCACGTAAACAATAAATGCACATATTTTTTTGTATATTTGGAAGGCTATGATGCACTGGGAGTGTTCAGCTTTGAGGTTATGCTGTTCAGAACTAAAACTTCTGTCTTTCAGTATGATGAATGCACCATTCCCCAGGGTCCTAGAGGGACTAGTTGTGTCTGTGACAGTGCAGGTAGCCAGTGGTGTCGATTTAATATAGAAAGAAACGAAAAAACAAAAAACAGAGCATTAAAAAAATGCCTGTTCACTTTACCAGACGTGTAATTGTTTTTGAAATGTTAAGTAGCTTAGCTAGTCTGACATTAAATGCTGCTTGGTCTTAAGCTAAATAAAGGTGAATAACTAAATGTATTTTTTATGCATAATGTTATTTTATTGAGAAGTTAAGTGAAATCTTGAAATTTAAAGTGTTAACATTTCCAACAGAAAGAAATAGGTCATATGACTGTTTGTCGTTTAAAATGTGAGTTTCATTTACAGCACATAGATTTTTTTTATAAATAAATGTGCTCAGTGTTTTTTATAAATGTTGTTTACACTAACGGGTTTGCACACCAATGTTAAAATAAACTATATTGAAGGCAGGTTTTGGTGGTTGGCGATATTCCAGACAAATAACAGTTTCATAATGTGTGGAGTGTTGATTGAGAAGCTGTTTGTTTAACAATGTTTATCGCTGTTTATCCTTGATTTTAAATAATTCTATAATGGCATTTTGGTGCAAACTATTCACACATGGGTTTGAACTCTACACACACTGCCTGGCCAAAAACAAGTCATACACTCTAATGAGATTTGTGAATCAGCACCTTTTGTAAGACACTTTTTGTAAATAGTGAGTGTAAATGAGGGCGTTTTATATTGTGTACTTTGATTTTGAAAAATGGGCGGCACTGTTGTGGTTGTCTYACTGGGAAGGTTTCCAGCCCTCCAACTGAAGGAGGTATAAAAAACTTATCCTTTTAGTTCCACCAATTTTCTGTTTCTCTGTCAGGAGATAAGGATTTAATCTTTTTTTTTTTTTTTAGGTAAGTAGATGATTAAGAAGATAATTTAGTTTTAAATACTTAAACTTTAGTAACACATTATGTTCTGTTTTATTTACTTTAAAGATGTTAGGAGTAGGGAGATGAACATAGTTTTTGTGATACTCAGACTGGACAAGTATCTCAGCAAACTGCCGACTTTAAAGTAGATCTTGGTTCAAAAAAAGGCTGGGCACCCCTGCATATTTCGTTGGACCACCCAACGCTTTGATTACGTTCACTGTGGTATTGTTTCAGTAAGCTTCTGTAATGTCACAAGATTTATTTCCATCCAGTGTTGCATTAATTTTTCACCAAGATCTTGAATTGATGATGGTAGGGTCTGACCTTCTCGCATCTCTCACAGCAGTCCATGTGTGAAAATGATGCCTCATGCTCCCTGAACCACTCTTTCACAATAAGAGCCCCATGAATTCTGGCATCGTCATCTTGGAATATGGCCATGCCATCAGGGAAGAAACAACCCATTGATGGAATAACCTGGTCATTCAGTATATTCAGGTAATCAGCTGACCTCATTCTTTGAGCACAAACTGTTGCTGAACCTAGATCTGACCACCTGCAGCAACCCCACATATAGTGGTTAGTTAAATACTTTTTTGGGGGCCCGGCAGCCAAGACCAAATTATGCAAAAATACCTTGGGTTGAAATCTTTTGCTGATGGCTTGGTCCCCCCATCTCATCCGTGCCCCTGGTACCATTTACCTTTACGGCCTTTTGTTGCCTCTTTCCCCCCTGTTTTTGCTGACCTCCATCCAGATGAATGTATCATAATAGATGTCAAACCTAGTAAATCAGTCATTCCACTTGTTGCTTCAGAGTTTTCTGGTCCACATTTCTCTTCTTCTCCTCCACCTGCAGGACAGCTGCACGTCGCAGCCACGTCTCTCCTCGCCGCTGGACGCGCAAAAGTAGAGGGGGGGCGGGCAGTCCTCTGCCAACAAAACCCTGCTTGCTCTTCTCCCGAGCTGCGCAGCTGTAAAGTGAAAGCAGCTTTGTGGAGCCAACAGCCACCGTCACCTCCTCCGGCTGTTTTCTCTGCGCACAAGCACAGAAACTTTCCGGCTTTTCAGACGCAGCTGCCTTTTTTGTTTTTAAATATCTATTTTTTACTATTTGTTTTTGCCCCACTGCGTTTAAGAGGAGGGTGCGTGTGTGTGTGTGGCGCAGCGCTACAGTCAGTGCGGTGTCCGGTTACAAGCCGTGCGCCGAGGAGCCACCGGCGCACAGCGCTTCCCCACGGGGCACAAATAGCACACGGGGCTCCGGAGGAACGAGCCAGAGCGCACAGGAATCTCTGCAGGGAGACACGAGGAGTTTTTTTCTTTCTTTTCTTTTTTTTTTTTTTTTAACAGAGGTCGATGTTTCTAGAGACGCACACGCAGTGAGGATATTCCATGTTGCCTCACCTCACTCCTCTCAGCCGGACGAGACGCGCAGCTTCGCTCCTTGCTTCATGAACGGGAGTTTGGCACCTCACTTGGTAAGAAGCTGCTTTTTCTTTGTATCTCTAGTTGCACGCTGATATTTGTCATTTTCAACATGCCGGGCTTATTTTCTTCAACATGAATGAACATTTGTGAAAATCAATCAATTTTGTGAGGACATTAAATTCATGTTGCAGTGTGAAAATGTGCCAGAATCCAGCATCAAACCCAAACCTGTCCACAGCCCCACAACAGAAATAACCAGTTTGAGAAGTTTTGGGCTCTTTATTTCTGTCCACTTGGTGGTGCTCACAGAGTGCAGCCATCGTGGTATCAAAGGGCTGAAACATTTATATTCCCACACTCACAGCTGTGTTTGTCTGGTCTTTCCTGCCAACATCTTCATACTCGAGGTCCTGGTGTCAGTACAAACGGATCAGTGTGGAAAGATCACAGTGAAAGTCTGACTTTGGTCATGACTTCATCTGAATGACAATTATCAGGATTTTGAAAACAACTTATTAGATGTTTAAACCGATAAATTTATGCCTTCATAAAACTGTTTTTATTGGGATTTTTGACGATCTTGTATTTCTAATTAACTTTTGATTTATTTTCCTGCTACTTGAACTTCACATTATTCATAAAATCACAATTAACAACTTGCTTGTGACCTTTCAATACTGGAAACAACTTGCATGCTCAAAGGTCAAGAACAGAATATTTAATGAGGAACTGATTGTAAGCAGCTTTTTYCCCCTTTATCTGTTAAAATATTTATCCATTCACTTCACTTCAAGCTTTTGGAGTAACTGTGTACAACYAGAGCTGTCCTTCTAACTTGTGAATTTGTAAAACCATGAGGGAATTACGTTCGTGGAATCTGAGCTTTGCTGCAAATTCCRTTTATATACCGTGTGTGTGGTACATCTTAAGTGGTATAATTGGTGTAAAAAAAGTAGTAAACAGATCTGTGAGAAGATATGTTAAATTAGATGCTACATGAGTTCACCAGACATACCCCACGGCTCTGTTCCTCCAGCAAGTTTCAGATTATATGATTGAAGAAACTTAATTGTTTACTCGATCATCTATCCACAAATGTTTCACAAGCCTGAGGCATGCATCTTATTAGACAACCAGCAGTTTTTGTAAATATTGTTCATCCGCTCTGCAGAACCCAACGTGCTTTTCTTTCCCGCTGCTATTCAAAAGGTTTGTGATCAGGAGATCATCTCTGATTAAACACTTGTTTTAGTTGYGAGGGGCTCAAATTGGTGACAGTGCCTTAATTCACCCACGGCATCCCGGCTTTTTATTGGTCTTCGGAAATACCTTCAAGGGTGGAAAGAAACGAGAGAGGAGTAAGGTCATGCAGGTGTTGAGCCTGGATAATACGGTTTAATGCCTTTTGGCAAAAAATAAGATAAAATAATAAAGCCACTTGATTTTATTTTAGGAAATTCAGAGAGAAGAAAAGAACACTGAAGTGGTATAAAGTAATTTGAATTTCAGTCGATCGTCTCATTTTATTTTAAGGCATAGCTGAGGTTCTATGAGAGCTGTGATGTGCATTTGAAGGCACTTTACTGGAAAACAAAATCAGGTATTTAAATAGACACTAGGAGAGGGGGGATTCTGCATTTTAATTAGGTTTGCAGGTGTAAAACAGCAACAACAACAACAACAAAAAACGTACGCTCATCTATAGGAGCAGCGTACAGAGCTACAGTGAGGAGCAGTCACTCATTCTCAGGCTCTGTGTTTGACCAGCGTCTCTCATGTTTGCRTTGGGACGGGGGTTCGCCTGAGCTCTGACACCGAGCTCAAACACAGCAATTAGCCTCATCCAGGAGGAATCTGATGAAAACGACCCTGCCGGCCTCGAGGGGCGGGGGCGTGGTCGCCATGGAAACCCGCAGAATGACAAGCTCATTGTTGTTGACCTTTGTGATTCAGCATCCCAACGAGAGTGAGAGTAAGAGGCATAATCACGCACGTGTAAACTAAACAGTCATTACCCTCTGACCCCTCGCTGCTCTTTAGGACCCCTGCTTGCTTATTTATCTGGCACCGGCAAGATGGAAGTTTTTAGGGTCAGCTTTTGTCTGCAGATCACAAAGGATCTGTGGTTGTTGGCTGGGAGCTGCATGGAAGCAGTGATTTTGCAGATTCCCCTCAGCGGATGATTTATTGCTTTTATGTGAGTAAACTTGGAGACACAAACAAAAGCTGGAGTGGCTTACTGTTGTTCCCCGCTGCTTTTTGTCCTCTCTCTTACCCCGGGGGTATTTCTACATCACAACCATTTTGCCATTATCTAATCCTTCCCTTGTTCTTGCCGCCACTCCTGCTTTTATCCATCTAGAGGACCATTCTTTTGTGTTGAAAGATGAGGAGAAAAAGAAATGTTTTTTTTTTACTATCCCACTTTTCGGGAGTTGGTTCATGACTATTTGAGCCACTGGTGCAAATTCACGCTTTTTCTGTTCATCCCTACATAGCAGAGGAAGTTGCCAAGGTGTCAKTAAACATCTTTTTATTATTTTCATTTTTTTTCTTTTGTCAGTCATTTAGTGAGATGTGTGTGTTGTTTCTATGGCAACTCCAAGGCTTCCCACAGTGGATTTGAGAGCACGTCCGTCACAAAGGAAATGAAAGTTTTTCATTCACAGCACTTTTTTTTTTACATTTTTTTTAACCACGAACTTGTCGAGAAGAGACATTGTGAGAAAGTCATCAAGCGTGCTGACATCTGTCGTCTGCCCGTTGTTCATTTTTCACTMACTCGGTACCCGAAGCGTTTCGCATCTTTTTCCATCAAGGTTGGCTGCGAAAGGTCTCGTGCTTCCAAAACAGACAGGCAAGGAATGCAAAAGCACAGCTGGAATAAAGTGAATTCGAGAGAAACCACGTTCAAAATTAAGGCAGACATGTGAAAATAGGTGAAATTGACGGAATAAAAGAGCCGAGGCGCTCGTGCAGCAGACAAACACACTGGCTGCGGCTCTCTGATGGCATGTTTCTTTGTAAAACAGGCAGAGGAAGGCACTGTAATTTCACACTGCATGTTAAACAGGCAGAGAGCAGGTGTAGGAAACAATTTGACTCTCTGGATGCGCTATTATTTCTGCCTCTTAGATCTGAGGATGGATGTCTGCGATTTGAGTGAAACGTCCAGCTTGATGTCGACACGTTGGTGGGAATTATCTCCTCTAAGCCCTCTTTCACTCACYGGCTCTTTTACACTACATTAGCTGTGTCCCTTTCTCTAAAGTAGAGGAATTTTTCTGTTACCCATGTGCAAAGGAGGAAAGAGGGAGGGAGACTATTTAGGTCATGAATAAATATTAATCCCCAAATTTTCTCTTTTTTTTAAACAAAGGATCAAGTCAAACAGATGTTTAAAAAGAGAAGACATGGATTCAAACTTCTGAGACAGCAGGAGAGCTGAATATAGTTAACTTTTTAAGCTGAAAGGCACTTTTACAACACCTTAAACCTCCTGTGCATGTTGAGATTTGAAATGGGCTGATGTGGAATTCCAGGTTTCACCTTTGTGTCACAGAGAAAAATAAGGTAGAATAAAGTTGTTTATGATTAAAGGGCCTGTGACAACAGATTTTTGAAATAAACATGAAAGCATTTTTGGAAAGATAACATTGGTAACGTATTCCAAAACAAAATTCACTCCACTGAGATGAACGGTTGTTCAGATATTTGCATGTGAARAAACAGGAAGTGATGTCAAAGGGGAATGTCTGCATGTAAACAGAGCATTGTAACAAAAGCCAACAACAGACCGTAGAGAAGAGTCTGATATTTCTTTAGATTATTTTGAGTTTCCAGCAAAGAGAGATGAAGAAGAGTTCAAGTTCAAATAATGTTGTTTTAATAAACAAAGACCAGAGAGTTTGTTTTATTAATGAGTTCCCCTTTGTTGTCACTTCCTGTTTCACTTTGGCTGAGCCAAATTCAAAAGAAAATAGGCCAGTTATGTGACCAAATTCGTAAAATCATGTGTACTATGCCAATTTTCTTAATTTTAAAGATGCTTTCTTTGACTTATTGTATTTGAAGGATAGGCGTGTCACAGGCACTTTAAGCTGTCCAAAATCTGAATACTTTCAACTTAAAATGGTGTATGCTAGCAGACTGAATAATAAATGTGGGGACAGCTGYCAAAATGTGTACAAAACGAGTTGAGTTGGGTACGATTCTGGCTGATGTGGACAAAAAAACAATGTGCACAGCCTAGACCACAATTTTGCAAGGCGTGCATTGGGCTCATTGGTCATTTGGTCGTGAATGCTCAGAGTTGAGTGAGACATCAACCAAAAATTAAATATTCTTTCACAATATTTAGTTGCCAGCTAGTCACCAACAGTTACAGCTAGTGGTGTCCCTGATACCAGTGGCCTGATATTAACAAGCTATCGTACTCGTTTGTAATGCCCCAATACTCTGGACTGATATTGGTATCGATACAGGATTCGATATGCTGTTGGATGTGTTGCACTTTACATTTCTGTGAAAAGTTTGTCAGCTCCATGTTTAAGAAAATTATACAAATTTAAGGGGGGTTGTATTCTCAGGCACATAGTTTAATTCTGTACCACAATCAAGTAACTATGTTGCCTTCAGTTGTTGTGAAAAAACTGTATACAGCATGTTAAAAATAAATATGACTGAAATCCTTGTAATTGACCCTGTCTTTTTAAGAATCTCCTACCGTTTCCAACATTCCCACTTCACCACATCTTCACAACAATGCTTCAGGGGGAGGGGTGCTCCGTGGGGCGGGAGCTCAGCTGCAGACTGAGCAACAGGGAGGAGCTTTGAGTAAATAGGCAGTGCTTTGTACCAGCAAGTGTTTAGGCAGCTCCACATGTCTACAGGAGATTCAAGGATTTCTCAAGCATGCATAAATGAGTCAAAGCATCACTCTGAGTATGTTTTTGATGAGATAATGACTTTATTACGGGATATAAAGCTCAAACGCTTAATAACCCCACTTTAAAGAAAATCTTATTTGTTGTTTTTAATTTATTTAATG